TTTGGTTAGGTTTGACTGAGATAAAGTCCTTGCATAATCAGTTTTTTTTCCTTCTGTCCCAAATTCCACAGTTAATGTTTACATTTTAGATAAAAGCTTTTTTAAAAGAAGAGAGAGAGAGAACAGAGACAACAGAGCCTGTAATATAATCCAAGATTATCCTCCCAAAACTCTTATTTTCACATGTGCGTTCATTTTTAAATTAAAAATATATATGCATATGTTTGCCTGCTCATACGTCTGTACTATTTGCATGTGATGCCCAGAAGAAGGCATCAGACTCCCTGGAACTGACTGGAGTTACAAGCAATTGTGAGCCACCATGTGGGTGCTGGGAAGAGAACTTGCTCCTCTTAACCACTGAACCATCCTACCCAGGTTCAGTCGCCAGCTCTCACACAGCAGCCCACAGCTACCTGTAACTACAGTACCTTGTGCTAAGAGGTTAAACATGGAAAGGCCAGAGTAACCTAGACCACCAAGTAGTTCTGGGTGCTATTTTCTGACCCTCCATAGAGTACAAAGGAAGGTGTAGCCAAGTGCTCTGTTAGGGGAGGATTTCATGACTTTCTACGAAGTGACAGGAATATTATACAATGATATGTACAATATGACTCTTTTTTTCTTAAAAAGTATAAGATGTCCTGGGAACATGTAGGCCATTCTGGCCAGAGAAGCATGTGGGGTAACTGTAGATCTTCATCCCTCCCTCCTCTCCTCCAAGTCCAATCTCCCGGTCTCATGCCCAGCTCTATAGCAGACAACCTGCTGCAGCCTCCCCTCCCCGCATCCCCATCTCCAGTGGATCACACAGATCTTTCCCTCCAAACTTCCTTCACCTCAACTTATCCCATGATCCCAGCCCCAACTCCAGCAGATATTCCCTGGGAACCTGCCAGCCAAGCGCGCTAGAGCAGTAAGTAGGCCAGAGAAGAGGGTAGGCTATCTTCAGATCTTCACTTCCCCTCCTCCCCCATATCCAAGCCCAGTCTCATGCCCAGATCTGAAGCAGACACCTATTGCAGCTTCTCCCTGTCCTCTGACCACATTCCCAGAGGACTAAGTAGATCCTGATGGGACATCCTGCTTTCTACCTACCCGTGGATCCTCACAGGCGCCACCCTAAGCCCATCCTCATTCCTGAGTGTCAGCCCCTAATACCTAGAAACGCTTTCTTACTGGGAACCTTCAGTGACCACACCTAGCTGAATCCCTGTTTTCAATCAGGCAACACACAGCCACCACACCCTCTTAAGAAGCAGGGAGCATAACAGAAACCAAGGAACAAAACACCCACCCAACAAAGCCAAGAACAGATATGAGCACCTAGGATTATACTCTTCCCAAACCCAGATGCCTAAAGTTCAGCATAAAAACACAATTGGTGACACCCAGGACAGCGTGTCTCCACAAGAGCCTAGCAACCCTACCACACTAGGCCCTGAGAATGGAAACATAGTTGAAGCATAAGACAGAGACCTTAAACAGCCCTTATTGATACATTAGCAGTCCTTAAAGGAGACACTAATGAATCCCTTAGAGAAATGTTGGAGTGATTTTTAATATATATCACTTACCAAAGTTAAATTAGGATCAGATAAGCCATTTTAAAAGACATATAAGCCCTAAATAGAAACAGTCATTAAATGTCTCCCAACCAAAAGAAGCCAAGGGCCAAATGGTTCTAGCACAGAATTCTATAAACTTTCAAAGAAGAATTAATGTGAATACTCCGCAAAATAGAAACAGAAGGAGCATTGCCCAAAACGTTTTTATGAGGCCACAGGTACCCAGATACTCAAACCACAAAACGATCCAATAAAGAAAGAGGGTTATAGACTAGTTTCCCTTGTGAACATAGATGCAAAAAGTCTCAATAAAATACTTGCAAACTGAATCCAAGAACACATCAAAAAGATCATCCACTATGATCAAGTAGGCTTCATCCTAATGATGAAGGGATGGTTCAACATATGTAAATCAGTAAACGTAACCCACCATATAAACAAACTGAAAGACAAAACCCACACGGCCATCTCATTAGATGCAGAAAACGACTTTGACAAAATCCAACACCCATTCATAATAAAAGTCCTGGAGAGACTGGGGATACAAGAGATGTATGGCAACATAATAAAAGCAGTTTATAACAAGCCGCTAGCCAATGTCAACTTAAATGGAGAAAAACCTCAAAGCAGTTCCACTGAAATCAGGAACAAGACAAGGCTGTCCATTTTTCCATGTCTACTCAATATGCTACTTGAAGTTCTAGCTAGAGCAATAAGACAACTGATGGAGATAAAGGGGATACAAATTGAAAAGGAAGAAGTCAAAGTATCTTTATTGCAGACCATTTGAGAGTATATATAAATGACCATAAAAATTTTACTGGGAAACTCTACAGTTGATAAACACTTTTAGCAAAGCAAGTGAATACAAAATTAACTCACAAAAATCAGTAGCCTTCCTATATACAAATAACAAATGGACTGAGAAAGAAATCAGGGAAACAATACCTTCCACAACAGTCTCTGTAACAACCCCCTCATTCCCCATCCCCCCACCCCTGATCTTAGAACAACTGATTCCATGATAGAAGTACCATTAAGGCCATAAAACTCTGTATGTAGACAACACCACCTGCCAAAATGAAAACAAAGACCTAATCTATTAAATCCCATAGTTCTGGGAGTCTCTAAATGCCTTGATATTTATTTATTTAGTTATTTAGTTATTTTGGCAGCTGTAGTTCTGCTTTTGGCTACTTGTTCTTGTTAAGTGATGCATATCAACCTAGGATATGATTTTTTTGCGTGTGATAAAAAAGCTCACCCTGAATATCCAGTGCAGTCACCAGCCAGCTAGTAAAGACTTTTTTTTAGCTCTATCTGAGCAGTCTTCTCCGGGGGATACCTACCAGTACCCCCCAAATAATGTAAAATATCTTGGGGTAACTTCAATTAAATAAATGAAAGACTTGTATTATAAAAACTTTAAGACATTGAAGAAAGCAATTGAAGCTGCCAAAAATGGGAAAGACCTCCCATGTTCATGGATCTGCAGCAAAAATGGCCATCTGTAGCAAAATTTACAGTAAAAATGGCCATCCTTCCAAAAGCAATCTACAGAGTCAGTGCAAATTCTTTACAGATCTTTATAGCAGAGAGAGAGAGAGAGAGAGAGAGAGAGAGAGAGAGAGAGAGAGAGAGAGACCCAACTGTTACAAGACTTTCTCCAGCCAGCTCCCAAATCATGACATGGAGACTTATTAATTATGAAATTATGACCAATAGTTTATTTACGTTTCTTTTTAGCTAGCTCTCATAACTTAATTTAACCCATCTCTTCCATCTGCCTATGTGTCGCCCTGAAGCTCATTACCTCATCTACTCACTGTCCATCCTGCTTTCCTGTTTCCTGTGTCTCCTTGCATCTCTGTCCCTTTTCCCCAGAATCCTCTGTGTCTAGAAATCCTGCCTAGCTATTGACCACTCAGCTTTTTATTAAACCAACCACAGTGACACCTCTCTCAGTGTACAGAAAGATTATTCCACAACAACCAACCAGGGACAGTAGTGCCCACCTGTAAAAGATAAGAGACTCGCCGCAAGCTCAAGCCCATCCTGGCCAATGTAGCGAGTTCAAGCCACTCAAGCCTGTGCAGTGAGAACCTGTCTCCAAAAGAGAAGAGAGGGACAAGGAAATGAAGGGACAAAAGAAGAGAGACCAAGATAGAAAGCTAGTGTTCCAGACCAGATTTGTTCATATGTGACAAGGAGAAGGAACAGCCTTCAGCGAAGTCCAGCTGACATGCCAAGACAGAGAAAATGAGGAGTGGCAGCAAGGATGGGTCGTGAGGCACGCTCTCAGAAAACCCGCATCCCTCCTTGAAATTTTAGACATGCCGAGACATGCGTTTTGTCTTGAAGTCCCGGGCATCTGCTCCCTTAGAAAGAAGATGTAGCGTGTGAGATGGAAACAAAGAGTGTAACAGTTATTCTAGAGGAGCCAACAGAGATCTCCCACACCCAGTACAAAACCCAGAAAGTAATAGACAAGGCTGGAACAAATCATTTGAATGTCCACCTTCCAGAACCTTGCTTTCTTGTTATTTATCGTATTGAACCAATCATTTCAAAGGCATTTATAATCCTTGACAATGTCATTGAGTGAGATGTGTACATTTCATATCTACACGGACTTAATATAATTTGATTCCAAGTCTGTTTTTAGAAATCAAATTTTATCAGCTACAGACATGGGTGACTATGCTTATGGTACAGAACAGCTGGCTGGAGACACTCCACCTGCGTAGGAGGCAGGAGCCGTGAGGCCTGCAGTGAGAGCCAGCCACGCCGGCCAATCATCTTCAGACAGGGTCTCCTTACACTTAAGCCTCAAGCGGTATGAAACTTCTCCTGAGTTACTTACATTGCACACACTATCTAAAACAACTAAAGCATTTTCTATTCATGTTTCTGCCGTCCAACCTGGTGGGATATGTTAGTATTTAGGCATTTGTACTGGCCTGCCTTTGGAGTTCTGACAGGATACGCCCTCAACTGCAGCCACCAAGAGCACCACCGTACCTGCTCCATATGCTCCCTTTTAAAAGGGCCCAGCCCACCTCCCGTCTCTCTCTCTCTCTCTCTTTCTCTCTCTCTCTCTCTCTCTCTGCTCCGTTCTCAGTAGATTCTCTTCTGCGTGTGGCAGGTGGAAGCTGGGGTCCTAATGGAAGAAGGCTTGGAATAGGAACTAGAGATGCTCAGACCAGACTTCAGTCTGTCCTTTAGAGTTGGAGATGGAGTCCCCCACAGCCTTCCCAACTAGCAACCTGATCAGTGTCATTCAAAACTAGAAAGATAAAAGAGGTCAGAAGTGGAGGAGCAGAACAAGGGGGAAAAGGGGCCAGGAAATGTCCCGAGTCAATCAATCATCCTGGGAGAACATTTGCATATAGGGTCAAGAATCGAATGCCCTGAAGGTCCCTACCTTTCACAACAAACCAGTCACTTCTGAACTCTACCAAGGATGCCAGAGAACACAGAGCAAACTTCCAGGTCAGCATCTACACCCAGGCAAGGCTTGGTCTCCCTGGGCAGCTGGCAGTTTTCTCCTTCATTCTCAGTGTGGGAGTGGAATCGGGATCCTCCCAGAATGTTCCTGGTATTCCTGCCAAGCAGAGGGTCTGATGTTGTTTTCACGCAACAGCAAAGAATTGGGACAAGAGAAGCTGTGAGGTACGGCGAAGGTCCATTCTGGGAATGTTAAGTTGTTCTTCTGCCTGCTTGAACGCGGTCTCCCGAGGACTGTCAGAGAATCCAGCCCACACAGCTCAGTAAGTACTTGCTGAATGGAAGAAAAGCAGAAAGCCCCGGGCCGTACTCCTACCCTTACCCTTACGCTGCAGCAGCTTGTGAGCCACACGGACTTCACGCCTGCGGGTACAGAACTGCTTGTCAAAGGCGGCTACTGCCCACCTGCTCATTACAACCTTTGTGTTTTAGATGAAAGGGCTTCAAAATGTTGTTTGCAGGGACTGCAGTTAATAAACCCTTAGGACATGGTACAATTGACAGCCTGTTGAGGAGCTGAATGTTACAAGTGTCTGGCTTTTTAAACAGTTACTTTTGTTTCTGGGTAGCATACCATGTGATAGCCTTCATTGTGATGTATTCACACATACATCACTACACTTTGTTTTTAGTCGCCTCCTTCTGCTCGCCCCAGCCTCCATCCTCCACTCTTGCTGTCTGCCTTCCTCCTCTCGAACAGTCCCTCCTGCTTTTCATGCTACACATATTCCATTATCCTCTCATCTCCCACCTTTAGACTCCTCCTTTCCTTCTCACAGCCCCTTTCTATTTTCACACTCCCTCTCCCAACACAAACATACACACACATGCACACACACACATGCACACACACATGCATACACACATGCCTACACACACATGCACACACACATGCGCAGGCATGCGCACACATGCATTTTAAATGTTTATTTACTTTATTTTGTGTGTATGTGTGTGTGCCTGAGTGCATGTATGCATACCACATGTATGCAGAAGACCATGGAGGTCAGAAGAGGGCATCAGATCTCATGGGACTGGACTTGCACATGGCTGTGTTTCTCCATAAGGGTGCAGGGAACCAAACCCAGGTCTTCTGCAAGGCAATGCTCTTATCTGCTGAGCATCTCTCCAGCCCCTCAGTTTTACCCTGGAGAAAATACATGATGTCCCTCTTTCTTTAATCCAGCTTATCTAGCTTTAACACAAGGCTCTCCACTTTTCCACCAGTGTTATACTCCATCATTCCCTACAAATGAATGAGCTTATGCACCACACTTCCTTTTTTCCATTTGCCTGCTGATAGGCATCTAGGCTGCTTCCGTGTCTTTGCTGTTATGGACAGGGAAGCAATGAACACGCGTCCCTAAGTAGCCCTGTGGTAGGCTGCCTTAGAGTCCTTTGTGCACATGCCCAGGTGTGGCGTAGCTGGGCACTATGGTAGCACATAGGAACCTTGTACTGATGTATATAGTGGCTGGTCTAATCTACACTCCCTTCGGCAGTGGACAAGCATCCCTTTCTCACCAGCGTTTGCTGCTGCTTGTTTTCTTTCTTTTTTTGACGGGCTCTTCTTCAGTTCAGTGCAGGGTCTCATGTATCCCAAATTCGACCTTTACTATTAGCTGGGGATGACCTTGGACTTAAGATCCTCATCACGGGTTCGGCGCTTGGGTTACAGATGAACCTTTGCTCAATTCAGGTGGTGCTGGGGATGGAACTTGGGACTCCGTGAATGCTAGGCAAGTAGGATGCTGACTGAGTTACAGCCCCAGCTCTTTGTCCCACAGGGCAACCCAGGCTGGGATAGGACTCATTTTGTATTATAGCCTGACCCCAGAGTCATGATAACATCCCTACTTTAACAATCTCCAGTGCTAGGATTATAGGTGAACATCTGTTTTATTCATGAAAGCCATTTTGACCGGAGAAGATGGAATCTCAACATAGTTTTAATTTTCATTTCCTTGTTAGCTAAAGATGTTCAGCAGTTTCAAGTAGTTATTGACTGTTTGTGTTTCTTCCTTGGGAGCTGTCTATATAGTTCATTGGCCCATGTTGGGATGCATGTTGGAGTCTTATAGATTCTGGCTGTTAACCCCCTGCTGGGTTCATAGCTGGTAAAGCTTTGTTCTGTCCTGCAGACAGTCTCTTGGTTCTCTCGGTTGATTCCTTTGTTGTACAGCAGCTTTTTTAATTTCCCACAGTCCTGCTTGTCAATTATTGCAATCATTTCCTATCCTGCTGGAGTCCTTTTCAGAAAATCCTTGTCCATGCCTGTGTCTTGAAGTGTTAAGCCTAAGTGTTTCCCTCTAGTGGAGAAACCATTTATTTAAAAGGGAAAGCCATGGGTGTAGCTCAGTGGTATAGTACTTCCCCAAGTGAAGCAATTTCAAGCATACCCAGAGCCCACATGGTGGGTGAAGAGAACTGTCCTTCTGACCCCCTCACTCCCCAGCCTCCACTCCCCACCCTCACACCCACAGGGTGACAAGCGTTCACGCGTGCCAATCCCCACCCCCACATGCTAAAGGAAAAATTGTAAAAGAATATTGTTTTAAAAAGCAACCCCCAAATTTGGCATAGTGGGTCAGAGTCCCTCCTCCTCCATTTATCTCTTTTAAACCCCAGTTTCCCGACCTGCCAACTGAAGCCGAGTATTGGGAATGAGGTGTTGGGAAGGGAAGTGAGGCAGGCATTCAAAGACAGAGGCAGCTCTCAGTGGGTGAGCGCCAGAGGAGCCCCGCTCAGTCTGAAGATGCATTTACGGGGTAAAAATAGTCCCTGTTCACGAGAGCTTGCTGCACATCTGCCACTTTGCATGCAATTATCTCATTTAATGTCACCCTCATCATAATTCTGAGGGGTGGGTGCCGCCATCTCTCTCCTCATGATGAAGAAAACGGCGTTTAAAGGTGATGGTACACTTGTCCAGGGCCTCAGAGCCCAGCCAGAATCCTAACAAGACCTGCACGTGCCAGAGCCCACAGACCCAAAGACGAGATGGTGACATCACCTTGCCCTGTGTGGTCACAGGGAGACGGGCCATCTGGGTGTGGCCAGGAAGCTGCAATCATGGGGGAGTCAGGCCTGGGGCATCCTTTCTCTAAGAAGTTAACAGGAAGCCGCTTGAGTGTCAGAGGGGAAATGATGCCTTTTCACTGATTTACTGTGTATGTTGTAAGGGCTTTTGGGTCACTGGGTGGAAGATGGGTTCACGTGGTCTCAGTCTTGGGGCCAGGGAGACAGGCTGGTTACAGACCAGCTGTGGGATGCTAGATGGCCAAGGACCAAAGCACAGCTCATGTGCTTGGTCCTGGAGGAGGCAGGCAACTGGAAGTTAGGTCTGCACCCCTTAGTTTAGGTTTGGAAGCTAAATCTGAGAAATGGCTTGCCCAGAGTCACACAGCCCCAAAACTACTGAAGTCAGGTCTTGAACTCTAGTTCTGTTTTTCTGAACAATGTGACTGCCCCAAGAAAAGCACAAAGTGCCAGGGGCTAGACCTTCCACAGAAGCTGTCTGCTCTGGTAGCTCTCACTGCAAGAAGTTCCCACCAAAGGGACAATTCTGCAGCCTCTGCCTCCTTTTTCTATTCTGGGCATGGTGTGTGCAATTAGCATAAACCTGAATGCATTTTTCACTCTGTGTGTGTGTGTGTGTATGTGTGTGTGTGTGGGTGGGTGGGTACTTTAGGACAGGGTTTCTCTGTGTAGCCCTGGCTGTCCTAGAACCCACTCTGTAAGCCAGGCTGGCCTCAAACTCAGAGATCTACCTGCCTCTGCCTCCCAAGTGCAGGGATTAGTGTGTCCCACCACACCTGGCTGCATTTTGCGCTTTTAACAGGAGGCTCTACAGGACCAGAAGGGCTGGTGACTTCATCTTTTAGCAGCTGCTGCCCAGTGCTGCCTTCTGCTTGAAGGACCCATTCTCTTTGGTGTCTAGTACGTCGCAGGGCTAAGAGATGCCTGGTCTCTGGCCAGTGCTTGCTGCTCTGACTATGAGCCTCTAAGTTTGGAGGCAATTTGTTACTCAGTGGCAGCTAGCTAGAGCCTGGGGTCTGTCAGACTACCCAGCTTTCATCTCCTGGGACGGTGTGTGTCACCATCTTCCTTTGTCAGTGGCAGACAGATGGACAGATGGACAGGCCACTGCAGTGTTTATCATCTGCCAGAAGTTTGTACTCGGAGTGTCCCCACACTACTGCTCTGGCACAGTGCTTCCATGAGACCCGGGGACGCTCTTGGTCCTGGACTCCGGTTCTGTGTGGTCAGTCACCATGCCTGCCCCTCACTGTGGGGAGCTGATTAAATCATTCCTTCTCCTGCCCTTGAGAACTTGACTGTGCCAAGTTGTCTCCAGGTTTCAAGACAGAAAGTAAAAAATAGCTCAATCCATGTCCCCCAGGAGTACTTGAACTCAAACATGTTCATAAATAACAGCCTGTCCCAGCAGGAGGCTTGCCACTCAAGCTGGAGCACGGGTGCAGATTCCCAGCCTAGACAGACAGCAGGAGGATCTTTATGGTGACCACACAGAGCCCCAGTGAGGAGCCAGGCAGGGGTCAATAGGAGGCAGAGCCCCAGTGAGGAGCCAGGCAGGGGTCAATAGGAGGCAGGCAGATGTAGGCAGACTGCCCTACGGTTGGCCAAGGTGAGGTTTTCCCCTGTTCCTGCCTACTTTTGGAGACTCCATGAACCAAGATTAATTATCTCCCCTGTAGTCCCCCCTCCATTCCAGACCATTCTTCACTCAACCTCCCCCAAGCAATCAGCTCCACTCCTCCCCGTCCACCACACCCCAGGTGACCTAGCGGATCACATCATGCAAGCCACCTTATTTTCACATCTTTTACTTATTTCCCAATAGGAATGCAAGCACCATGCAAGCCATCCATAAGTCAGACTCGGAGCACCAGTGGTACCTGTGAGGTGGACACGCCATTAATACAGATGTCTGTGCCAGTAGGAGGCACAAAGGCCAACCTAGGGTCTGAGCCTCTGCATCTAACCCCCCCTCCAGTGATCCTGCAATGTGCCTGCCAGTGCCCCCATGGGACAGATGAGGAAGTGGAGGCCAGGAGACCAGGGAATGGCTGGCCCACACCTCTCAGCTACCAGGAAAGGCCAGCCAAGCCAAAGCCCCTGCTGCTCTCCGCAAGGGGCCCTGTGTCATGAGGCACAAGAGGACCCAGAACTGCAAGCCTCAGAGTCATTAAGAAAATCCCCAGCCTGTTCTAATATTCAGTATAATCATTTCCATCCCCACACCATGCCAAAAGTCTGTGTCCCTGATAGATGGAGACAAGTTCCGGGAAAGGGTCCAAATCCAGGGCTGAGAGACCTTGGAGCAGCAGTGGGAAGGGGACAGGGAGATTCACTTGGCTTTAAGGGAAGCCCCCAAGAGCTGCATTTGCAGGCTACAGGATCACGGGTTTGAAGTGGGATGGGAGTTTGCCACCTGGAAGTCATGGAGAGGACACGTTCAAGGGAAGGCTCGGGCTTCTTCTGGCCACACAGGATCCCCAGAGGACCTCTGCTTACCTGGCACCCTTCTGCTGCCAGAGGGTGCCACACGGAGACCTGTTGCCTGCCAGCGCAAGTCCTGGCATGAGAATTATTTGAGGACCAGAGGCCTTGAGAGCAGCACCCTTTGTCAGAGCGAGCCATGCCCACCGCCTCCCCTGCTAGCTAAGTGGCCTGACGGCATCCTCCCCATGAGCACCAGAGCACAGGGAGACAGATGGCTTCAGTGGCCATCACTGAACCGAATCCTGCCACACCTGGGCGTCGGGAGCAAAGGGTCTGCTGACTTGGGTGACCGTGGGTCTGACTCTGATCTTTTCTGGTCCTCAGCTCTCCCATCCTGTTGTGCTCACTCTATCCGAGGTAAAGCTATGGGGACCACAGGAACCGGAGGGGCACAGACGATGGCTCCTGCTGCTAGGAGAAAGCATGTGTGCTTTGAGGCGGGCTCTCACTGTGTTAAACAGGCTGGCCCCCAACTCCTGAACTAAAGCCATCTTCCTACCTCCCAACTTCCCAGCACACCCAGATGGAAATAGGTGCTTTTAAATAGTAGTCGCCAGTCATTGCAGTATAGGGCTACAGAGGGGGCACTGTCGGTCCAGCAGTAACTGTCCCCACAGTGTGTTGGGGGCACAAGGATCCCAGTGGCAACTTTGCCCTTCATTGCCTCAGTATTACCAAATATCCTCTTCTGTCGGCCCTGCTTTCTGGACTCACAGACAAACGGTACTAGTCACCAGATGGTGGCTGTCACCAGCACATGGTTCATGCCATTGGGAGCACTGCAGAAGGAGTCTTTCTGCTGGGCACCTAACTGGAAAAGTCAACACAGCTGTGTTCCAAGAATCCAGAGGTCTGAAGGAGACAAATGTGAACAATGAAACCCAGCCAATTGATGGTGGGGAGCACTGATGATGGGGAGCACTTTCGTGGGGAGCATCGTGGTGAAGAGAACTAATGTTTGAGCCACACAAGCTGGAACCAGAGTTGATCCTGCCTCAGGGAGTTAAGTTGGGCGGGGAGAACCCAAGAACTGGCATTTGGGATCAGCAGAGGCCACCCCAGGATTTCTGACCCAGACCTTCAGTCCCCATTTTTCTGTTGCCAGACCCCCACCCCCACCCCGTCCCTATGTCCATCTCAAATTCTCCCACATTCAGTACCAGAGCTTCCAACTCTGCTCCTTGTATGGGTCTTCCAGATATCCCCAGGGTGTTCGCTGGCACAGACTCTGCCCCAGTGTTCCGGGAAGGTGGGGCCAACCTCTTGGTTCTTTGCCCATGGAAATAAAGAGAAATGTGCTGGTTTGGTTTTTCTCTCCCTTTGATTCTGAAAGCTGCTGGCATGGAACTTACCCTCCCTTAAGGGTGGGTCAACAGTCTTATGATTAACTGGTTCACGTTTTCAGAAGGGGAGACTGAGTCTCGAAAGGGTGTCTTATGCACACACACACACACACACACACACACACACACACACACCACTGGGGGGGGACTAACTCCAAGTTCAGGCCTCTTCCAGATACAATCTTGCTGTTGCATCCCTTAATCCCATCAAGTGAGGGCCAATCAAGGTCAAAGGTTGCTGTGAACTGGCCTTCGGTGTCTGCCCAAGAGTCACTGAGCTCCTGCTATGTGGCAGGCATCGTTCAATGCCCTGGGGATTTGCAAAGAAAGACAAGAACTTGGAAACTGAATTCCAGGGAAAAGAGGAGCAAACACAGGTAAACAAAAGAGCCACTGAGATCGTAAAGGCAGTCACCCGGACAACGGGACAGAAGGCTAGAGAGCACGGGGCCGCCCCGTACAGGGGACAGCCAGGGACTGGGCTGCGTGAGAAGAGCCCAGCTACGTGAAGAGGTACCCGGGCCCACAAGTGCCTGAGATGGGGACGAGCACAATGGCTGCCGCAGAGAGAAGAAGCCGAGTGTTGTGAAACCAAGTTAGAGGGGGGAGCGGGGAGCGGGCAGGGGAGAGGCAGGGAGGTGCGGTGGGTGTACACCTTTGTCCACGGGGAAAGAGATTCCAGCTGAACTTGTCACACGTGACCTGGGCAGTTATCCCCTGCTTGGCTAGGAGAGAGGACCGTAAAGCCTGAATCCCTGGCTCCAGGCAGTCCACTTTCTGGGCCTTCTGAGCCACTTTCCTACTGCAGTGCCTGGCCGTCCTCTTTCTTCTTAGATCCAGCTCACTTCTGGTTTTCCTCTAGACATGAACGCCAGCTTGCCCCGAGTGGCCCAAAGACCCTGGGGTTTCCTTAGTCAGAAAGGGAGAAAGACATGGGAAGGTTTCCTTACCCACATAAACCTTCACCAGCTCCCAGGCGGCCCAAGTGCAGCTGCTTCTGCTATGGCCGCAAGGGGTCTTGCACAACCCTGCGGACATCTAGCTACTGTATCAGGCACCCTGACTGGTCAGACCCCCAGGTCCACCCCACCCTACTGCTGGGCCCTCAGTATTGCCCACTAGTTGCCAGCTGGCCACTTGGGGTGGGGGCACACTCCTATACTCGTCTCTTCCTTCTCAAGCTACCACAAACCAGAGTAGCTGGTTCCTAGGGACTTTTAGCTACACGAATGCAACCTTTTTCCTGAACTTGGACTCATTTTGTTACTGGTAGATCCTTCTTGATGGTCACTACCAGTCCCAGCCCATGAGTAGCCTAAGGAAGTTTTCTAAGTTCAAACACTAGAAGGCATGAGTCAGGAGTTCCAAAACCCCAATTCCGGGAAAAGGATAGAGGGAGAGCAAGGAAAGAGATACCTTGATGGGGGGCCGTTATGGGAATAACGAGAAACCTAGCACTAGGGAAATTCCCAGGATCCACAAGGATGACCCCAAAGAAGAATCTAAGTAATAGTGGAGAGGCTACCTTACATGCCTTTCCCCTATAATGAGATTGATGACTACCTTATATGCCATCCTAAAGCCTTCATCCAGTAGCCAACGGAAGCAGAGATTCGCAGCTAAGCACTGGGCTGAACTCCTGGAGTCCAGTTGAAGAGAGGGAGGAGTGATGAACAAAGGGGTCAAGACCATAATGGGGAAACCCACAGGAACAGCTGACCTGAGCAAGTGGGAGCTCACTGACTCCAGACTGACAGCTGGGGAACCTGCATAGGACCGAACCAGGTCCCTTGGATGTGGGTGACAGTTGGGGGCTGTGAGCAGTTTATGAGACCTCTGTCAGTGGAACCAGTATGTATCCCTAGTGCATGAACTGGCATCTTGGAGCCTATTCCCTACGGAGGGTTACTCTCCCAGCCTAGATACAGTGGGAAGGGCCTTGATCCTGCCCCAAATAATGTGACAGACTTTGAGGATCCCCCATGGGAGGCCTCACCCTCTCTGAGGAGTGGATGGGGGTGGGGTGGGGGAAGGTGAGGGGGGATGGAAGGACGAAAGGGAGAGGGAGCTGGGACTGGTATGTAAAATAAGACTGGTTTAAAATTTTAAAAACAATTCCTAGAAAGCTCTACTATATTTATGTTTTAAATGAAGAAATATGTATATATTGAAGGTCAACATGGGTAAGTATTCCCACAGATTACAGCAGCCATCAGAAATATTTATTTTTATGTGAAAAATTTTCAGGGTTCAAAAATACCATAGAACCCGACGATGAAAAGAAAACAGTATTACTAAATCATTTCATTTCTGTCATATATAACCATGCTCACGCATGTATGTATGTGTATATAAGTAGTTTGTGTGTACTTTTCCCAAAATTTGAAATAAAAGTCCACCCTCTGTAAAGGACAAGAAAGAAAGAGCCAGCCTCATCAGCAGGCAGGCCAGGATGTTCCGGTCTGAGCATCAACACAGCTCAACAGCTCGATGTGTGCAGCATATGAATGGAGCCCAGCATTGCTGCATCTGCGACGAGGCAGGAGCAGAGCCACCATGTGGCCACCCCCTCCTCTGAGGGGGTGACTCACGGCTGGCTGCTTTTGTAGGGATGGCATCGATGCCCTCCACCCAACTCCTAGCTCTTTGACAGCACCCATTGCAGAGGCTGCTCTCTTAGTCCCGCCTTGGGGTCCACCAAGTAGAGCCCAAGGTTTTAAGAAACTCCCCCCAATCCATCCCCCTGTATTGGGCCATCTGTGGTTCCTCTCCAGGACAAATGACATAAACCTCGGGTCTCATTCCAGTGTTTATGTCTCAGCTCTGGACAGGAGCCGGCCACAGGCATCTTCCCACGTGACCATCAGAGGTATCAGGCCCTCTTCTGTAGTTGCCTAGCAATGCATTGTTTGGGTGACAGCATCTATCTTATCTCCCCCCTCCCCCAACCCAGCCTTTTCCTCCCCAGCATTTCCAGTCACACATTCCTTTAGTACAGTATCTCAACCTCATTCTTCTTTACTACATTTATTGGAATTATTTCTATTGCTTTATTTTAACTACCATTTTTTTGTCTCCTCCAGTGATCACCAGTCAGGATACCTGCCTCCTCGACACACACACACAATGATTGTTATGTTCTGCCTTTAATGAACACTGAGGACTCTCAGGGACACGGAGTAAAACTGCAGAGCAGATCCTTTTCCCAGTGCTTGGAAAAGTCCATGGCCAGGCTGGGACAGGAGGTCACCAGAGTGAGCAAGGTGAAACGGGCTGGCTGCCTGCAAGCCAGGACCCCAGGGAGCCATGAAGAGCTCCCACAAAGTGGAGGGCAGAAACACTGGGGGTCAGCAATGTACCTAGCCCAGTAGTAACTCAACCCTGGGGCCAAATACCTCCTCCACACACACCAGCAGTTGAAATGGAGTGAACTGGGCTTGGGAAGGGTAGAGAATGGAGACACACCCAGCTCAGCTACCCCGTGGTCCAGAAGCCACAGAAACTCCCTGCCCCTGGGACTCTACTGGGAAACAGAACTACCTGGAGCCTCCAACCCTCTGGGTTAAGGTGTTCCTCAAACTGAAAGATGTTTTGGCCATTTGTACCTGGACCACTGTGAAACCAGCCAGGGGCGGGGGTGGGGGTGGGACGGGGAAATTAGTGTTTTTGCAATGGCAAGTCACGAGTCAAAATCAGAGTTCAGGGCGAGAGTTTTTAAGACAGCAGTATTATGTCTTAAATTAATCTGTAAGCCCTACCTGCCCAAGGACCTGGTAACCTTCCAGGATTCTGGGAGTTGTAGTTCTTGAAAACAATAAGACCTCCCTGACGGCTAAGGATGTTGAACACTTTCTTAAGTGTCTATCAGCTATTTTAACAGTCACCTATTGAGAATTCTCTATTTAGTTCTGTACCCCATTTTTTAAATTAGATTATTTGGTGTTTTGGAGTCTAGTTTCTTCAGTTCTTTGTAAGTTTTGGAGATCAGCCCTCTGTCAGATGTGGGGTTGGTGAATATATTTTCCCATTCTGTGGGCTGCCGTTTTGTTTTGTTGACTGTGTCCTTTGCCTTACAGAAGCTTCTCAGTTTCAGGAGGTCCCATTTATTAATTGTTGATCTCAGTGTCTGTGCTACTGGAGTTATGTTCAGGAAGCTGTCTCCTGTACCAATTTGTTCAAGGGTATTTTCCACTTTCTCTTCTAAGAGGTTCAGTGTGGCTGGATTTATGTTGAGGTCTTTGATCCATTTGAACTTAAGTTTTGTGCATGGAAATAGATATGGATCTATCTGCAGTCTTCTACATGCCAGCATCCAGTTATGCCAGCACCATTTGTTGAAGATGCTTTCTTTTTTCATTTTATAGTTTAGCTTCTTTGTCAAAGATCAGGTGTTCATAGGTATGTGGGTTAACATCAGGGTCTTCAACTTGATTCCAATGGTCTACCTATCTATTTTTGTGCCAGTACCAAGCTGTTTCATTACTATAGCTCTATAGTAGAGCTTGAAGTCAGGGATGGTGATGCCTCCTGAAATTCCTTTATTGTACAGGGTTGTTTCGGCTATTCTGAGTCTTTTATTTTTCCATGTAAAGTTGAGAATTGTACTTTCAAGGTCTGTGAAGAATTGTGCTGGGATTTTGATAGGGATTGCATTGAATCTGTAGATTGCTTTTGGTAAGATTGCCATTTTTACTATGTTGATCCTACCTATCCAAGAGCATGGGAGATCTTTCCATCCAGACCTCCTGAATGTGGTGTCAGTGAGGAGGCCTCCGCAATCTACGGGGCCTCAGGTAGTAGATCAGTATTTATTCCTGGCATGCGAATGAACTTGGGGAGCCCATTCATAATAGAGAGATGCTGTCTTAGCCTGGACACATGGGGGAGGGCCTAGACCCTGGCCCCAGCCCCAGATGATATGACAGACTTTGGAGATTCCCCCATAGAGGGCCTCACCGTA